GGGTATTTCTCTGCTCCTTTGCTTCCATTCGCGGACCAAATTGATACTTCTCCATAATAATTGGTGTAACTTTGTGACCGTTGATCCAAATAATTTCAAACTTCTTCTGGATGAATTCAGAGTCAATCATGTATTTTGTATCCAAATTTCAGCTCAATCCAATGAATATAAGGCCTTCAATGGTTGCTAGGTATCTGATACTTCAGAGCTGTTCAATATCTCGTTTCTTGCTCTTTTGTGCAATTGACCTGTAAAAAACTCTAACCACTAGAAATACACTAACCTACCACTCAAAACATAAAACCGCAAACAACTATTATAATATCGTAATAAAATCATGACAAAAATCGTAAAAACCAGGATATAATCAACTCATTTAAACTCATAGCCTTCAAACTTAAAACTAATTAGAAATACATTTTTGAGACTATATCCTTTCTATACTATTAATGTTTTATCTTAATTTTTGATATGCGATTCTTAACAGTCTAATATAGTTTTAAGGAGTAAAAATTATAATATGTGAGTAAATTTATGTATTTCTATTGTCATGATGTGTCATCATGTGTTATTGATTATTATTTTAGTAAATACAGTCTAAAAATCATTAAAAACTCTCTAAACAAGACGACGGCGATGGAAAATAGATCTAGGTTTTGACCATGTTATGGGTCATGATTGGAATCAAAAAGAATAAGGTCAAGTGGGTTTTAAGGATATTTTTGACAAGTTATGGGATTACGGTGAGGCTGGCGGTGATTTCATGGATGAGATTTGGGATTCATGGGATCAAATCAATGGGATTATTTGAGATTTTGGAGGGGATTTTGGTAATGGAAGATTCGATATCTCCTAGATGGAGATCGTTCATCCAAGTGTGGAGGATAAAAGTAATTGATTGTACGAAAGATCTGGTTCAATATTGTTCAGTCTTAACTCATATAGTTCATGGAGAATCGAGTCAGGATCTGGTTACGATCTTAAGACCGGAGAAGTTAAGAGAATCTGTGTCTTGGAAGGTGGTGAATGATAGGTTTGGGAAAGTGTCGTATAAGAGATTCTCCTATATGGAAGCTTCGTGCATCGAGTGGTCTCCCAAAGATTGTGAAGATTTGATGGAGATGTTTATGGAAAAGGGGAAAATCAATACTTATTGTGTGTTTATACGGATGGTAGGATTCGATTTGAATTATAAAAAACAAGATTACTCTGAGATATTGGAGATATTCTGGTGTCTCAAGATTGAAAGGGTTGACTATATAAAGTGCTTAAGGAGAAGCCAGTGGTCATCACCTTTTCTTATCTGGTATTCATTTGAATTCTTGATTTGCAATTATACTAAGCTAGTGTGCGCTCAAGATCGGTTTG